TTGTCATTTGGAAATAATCGCAAATTAGGGGAATACAATTTTGTACTATATATGTAACAGTTATATCCAAATTTATGTTAGTTATATTATTGATGAGACCAGGTTTTATCAGATGATAGTCATAATTTTTATATCGTGTTTTGTAGAATATTGTATTGTAAGATGGTTAGGGTGTATTATAAAAATCTAATTATTAACTATTATCTTCCTGTAACTTATATATATATATGATCCAATATTATTTCGAAGACAAAAGTATTCGTATATTAACAATGTGGAAATATTATTACTGTATAATACTCAATACTACAAATATTATTACTATTGTACGAATACTTTTATCTCTAACTATATATATATATATATAACAAATAAGTAAATGGGCCATTGGTTGTACAAAAAAAAAAGAGACTGATGTAGACAAAAAAAATAATATTCATCGATAATTGATCCACGTAAAAGCTATAATCTGTTATAACGAGATCTCATTACTTTTACATTTAATCTCGAACTCGTATTCTATTTTATTCTAACTTCAAATAGTATTTCTCTCTCTTTCTCTCCCTCTCTCTCTTTTTCCTTATTTCTCTCTCTCTCTCTCTCTCGTTTTCTTTTTCTTACGTTAGACGACATGTACGGAGTAGACGCAGGAGATATCTTTCGACGTAACGAATACGAGGTAGAGAACGCACACGGAAGCAACGGTGCGAACCTTTTCCTTCTCTCTCTTTCTTTCTTTCTCTGTCGTTGTTTCTGTTAGTTTGTGTTAGTTGGTATTTGTACGAAGGGAGCGAGGAGGAGGAGGGAGGGGGGGCAGTCTTTTAGTACCACACGGCAGATTCACACTGAAAGACCGGCATCCTGCTGCTTGGGCGGCTGGCTGCGGATAGACGTCGCGATAAAACGCGGTTAACACGGAAATTAACCGTTATATCTTTGCACTTATTTACTCTTACACAAGGAGATAATCTAGCGAGGCGTGCACCGTATTTTACATAATGCAATCGGCCTACGCTAAGTTCGAGTGAATAGAAAAAAGCGGGGGAGAGGGGAGAGGAAAGGGGGTAGTGGTGGTGGTAGTTTAGAGATGTTTGACATTAACTGCATTTTTATAGATTTGATAAACCACTCGAGGAATTCTAACAATTTTTATGAGAATCTCTCTCTCTCTCTCTCTCTCTTTTTCTTTCTCTGGAAATAAGTGGAAAACTATTGAACGAAGTATTAACGATAATCGGTCTGATCTTTTACACCTAGGGGTTAAAAGGAAAATTAAACGAAGCTTGGATCGTTTGCACTTGTCGTAATTTTATTAATAATATTTTATACGAGAAGAGATAATTTAACAAGAAGTGCTAATATTTTTCTTTTTTCTCTTTTTTTTTTCTTCTTTTTTTTTTTTAGAATGATAAATGCGTTATGTAATAATTATGAATACTTAAGCTAACAATAAGCGTTTCGCGCGACTATTAATTAATGACAAAGTTCTTAAGTAATAGTAAACGTCGTACCGAATCGAATTTAAATGAACTCTTAATGTCATCTCTTCTAGTAGTATTATAACGAGTTAATTAATTCGTCAATCCTCCAATTACAAGATTAACGAAACGATATACATAAAAAGAAAATATAATAACTATGAGTAAGCAAAATTTCCCTGAGGATATAAAAAACATTTCAACGAACTTAGAATACGAGAGGTAAGGAAAGATGAAACTCTTGTTGCTTGGTGTATTTGGTTATTTTTGAAAAATTTCCTCTGGGAATCAAAGTGAAGGTAGAGGAGGATACTCTAAAGGAAAAAGTAACGAAATAAAAAGAAGAGATCATGCGTAAGCGTTAGAGAATAGTAAGAAAGAAGGAAAGGGGGAGAGATAGAAAGAGAGAGAGAGAGAAAAAGAGAGAGAGAGAGAGAAAGAGAGAGAGAAAGAAGAGTAGACTCGATGAGAGACCGCCAGATGACTCCCATTCTCGGTTGGCCGGTATGAAGGAAAGTTGGGATGCTGCAGCTGGTGGGACCAGTACCATCTCTCTCCATAGTTTTCTCTCCTTCTCTTCTGCGTACCGTCGCGTACGTGTCAGCCACGGATTCCACGTCGACCAATCGGACTACGGCTTTATCATCGTCCGCCACCGCCATTGGCCGGAACGGGCCGGTCTCTATCGAGCGGGCGTCGAGTCTGCTCGAGAGGCCGCGCCTTGCGGACCTTCAGCTTCATTCTATCTTTCTCTTTTTCTATCTTTCTCTTTTTCTATCTTTCTCACTCTATCATTTGCTCTCTCTCTCTCTCTCTCTCTCTATCTCTATCTCTTTTTCTCTATCTCTTTTGAAGGGGGTTAGCGTACCCTTTCTCGCCATCCCCGTTGAACTACCACTACTAGTCAAACCTCGATAGGAATAATAGAAAGAGACAGTCGAGTGAGAGGGTTGTTGAAGATTGATAAAGATAGTTATAGGGAGAGAGAGAGAGAGAGAGAGAGAGAGAGAGAGAGGAACCTTCTGAATCCAGAATGAACTTTCTTCTTCTTCCCCTTTTTCTTCTTTCTTACTCTTGTATTATTCTTATCTCTTTCTTACTTTAATACTTTGACTCCGTCTTCGTCTTACGCGCTAATAAAGCGCATCGCTCGCGTTGTCCGTAGCACAGCAACTTTGATAAGTTTCTCTTTTGATCGATCTGACGGTTTCTCGGCATCCCCAAGCAAGAGCTTCTTCTTCTTCTTTTTTTTCTTTTTCTTTTTCTTCTTTCTACTTAAGATAGCACGCGAGACCCCATCCGAGACGTTCTCTTCTTTTATTTTCCCATCTCATCTCTTTCTTCAATGAAAACTCGGAAATCTTCGAGGCGGTGGAACGCGTAAGAGGATTCGCCTCGAGGCCGAGCACGATTCTTTTTCTCGAAATTAAAAAGCTCCTCTTCGAAAGCCTTTGGATCTTCTTCTTCTTCTTCTTCTTCTTTTTCTTCTTCTCTTCCGACTGACTTCTTTTTTTATGTACTTTACATTTTTTACTCTCTTGCTTTATATTATATTCCTCTTTCCCTATTTCTTCTATCCACCCTTTTCAGTATTGCGGAATAATATTATCGATTGGAAGGAAGTATCTATATGGTAAGAAATAGAGTATGAGAGTCGAGAGAAAATAGTTAGAAACGCGTAAATGACATTTTTCCCATGCCGGTGCCACGCCTTTCTTGATCGTTCAACGAACCTAACGGCATGTCAAAGGTACGACGACTTTTTTCTTATCATCGTGAAAACTAGATGTCTCCTTTCCTCTTTCTTCTTTATTCTTCTTTATTTTACTTATTTTTATTTCTACTTCTACTAGTTTCATGACAATCAAGAAAGTGAAAGAAACGTAAAAGTAGCAGAAGGAATAAACGTGCTTTCGGAAAGAAACATGAGACCCTCCAAATATAGTCGCGACTACAATTACCACTACCAGTACTATTACTACTACTACTACTACTATTACTAGGAATACTAATACTACGTTAGTACGTTAAGAGAAAAGCAAATCTGGAAGAAGCACTCGTGAAAGAACAATACGCTCGACTACCGTACTCTTCGTTTACTTCGTTCGCAATTAAGAGACACTCGAGACAAGATGTTGCAAACAAGAATGATCGTGCTAACGTCCCTCCCCCCCCACACCTGAACTTATAAATTCGACTAAAATATTACTTAAATCGAATATTTTTATTTGTCCTTCTATCCCTTAAAGATTCGATTGAACAACCCCGTACGTTCGTTTATTTTTTACTTTCTTCCATTTCAAATCAAATAATGATAACGAACAGAACGAATATACCTATATAATATTAAGGGTAGTCTACTTTTAAATAAAAAAAACAATTACATTTTCTGAAATGATTTTAAATAGGTCGTGGGACTCGTCCAAAAGCAAAAACTTTGATAAAAAATTCGTCGTTAGGTATGGGTGAGAATCGTAGGTACTACCTACTTTAAAGGGAAGAAGAAGAAGAAAAAGAAAAAGAAGAAGAAGGTTCGTTATTCCTGAGAAAAGCGAATCTCTCGCGATTTTCGTTGGAATGATTTCGCTACGTTCTCGGGATAAACGAGCCTTGCCAACGCGAGAGTTGTTTCATAAAACGTTCTAAGCCACGGTCGCGGTCGAGCATTCATTATTCATGATTAGCGCCTCCAGCGTGTCGACATCGTTCTCAAAGCGTTTACCGTGCGTTCACATTTCACTCTCAATTAATTTGCAATCGGGGGATCTCAATGGGAAGAGAAAGAGAGAGACAGAATGAGAAAGAGATACAGAGAGAGAGAGAGAGAGAGAGAGAGAGAGGAATACTCGTGCTTGTAAAGAGAAATGACGTGACACGCGAATGGGTTTGTCGCGCGTCAGTCACGCATACACGTTTACAAATTGTTTCTTAAATATTCCCCTCCCTCCTGATCGAAAGAGATCCATCGCGTCTATACCCTCTAACATAAATTCGATTCAATCTTGTCAACCAAACTAACTATCTGAAATCATTTTTAGCATATATATATATATATATGTATATATATGTATATATTTTGTTTAAACAAACATAGAATCATCTCTCTTATTTAATACGACGAACGACAAGAATGATCATCTTCACGATCGATAACGATGATTGATGGAGGGATCTTTCGTTAGTTCGAAAATGAATCAAGGATGTTAAACGCATAGAGATAGAGAGAGTGAGAGAGAGAGAGAGAGGAATTCGACGTTACTACGACGGTCGACGTCGTAGAGCTGGCTGCCGTCGTTGCTGCTCGATGTTTGAGAGGGAGAAAGAGAGAGAGAAAAGGAGAGAGAGAGAGAGAGAGAGTGAGAGAGATATGCAGAGAGCGGTGAGACTGGGGGGGTACGCGCAAACGCGAGGGAAATAAATTGCAGGGCGCAAACGCGAAGGTTCCTAAAGCGTCTCCGCACCCCCTCCGAATGGTCGTCCGGCGAACCCCACCCCTGACATTTAGGTATATTCAAGAACGGTGGCAGCGTCGGGAACGTCAAGCCCTCTTTTCTCTCCTCTTGACGTCCGGCCCTGGGCCACGACGCCGCGGCCTCCACGGGCCAGGGGATCGCAATATTAACGAAAGTGACGGCGGATAGCGGTTTCCCTTCGCGTGCGCATAGACCACCAGCAAACCTCCGGCACACCGTACTTTTTTTTAACTGCTACACTTTTCCCATATCTATCGTAAGAACGCGTGCGCGCGCGCGCTCGCGCTCCTGCTGTTTCACTTGTTCGTTCGGTTCGGTTCGTTCGGTTCGTTCGTTCGGTTCGTTCGTTCGGTTCGTTCGTTCACTCGCTCGCACCCCCCTCGAACCCCAACTTGGATCGCATTTCGCGCTATCGCTGCTCCTCTATTCTTTTTCTTCCTCCTCCTCCTCCTTTTACACATCCTTCTACTCCTCCTCCTTCGCTTTCTCGTACAGACGCGACTTCTCTTTGTCCTATACGCCTTTCAGTTCTCTCCTTCCGTTCCGTACTCTTCGAACAAGCTGAACCTTTCTTCTTCGTTCCCCTCTCTCCCCCTCCGCCCGCCCGCCCGCCCGCCTCGCCTAACCTCGCCCCCACGTCGGTGATTGCAGTTCGATTGCAGTGATCGTTCGTTACTTTTTTTTCTTCCCGGTTGATTCTATTTTTTATTGGTTTCCTTTTGGGAGAACAAGAAAGAAAGAGAGAGAAGAGGAAGAAGAAAAAAAGAAATAAGGATCGTGTGAACCAACGCAAGGATCCTGTTCAACGCCAAAGAAGAAGATACTACTTGCTACCTACGACTTCGTGCCACGATTTCTCCTTTACCGCTACCCTCAACCCCCCATTCCCTCCCCAGCTCCCACCACCTCATCCTCTCATCCTTTCTGGTGGACAGTGTTTTTTTTGCTCGTATCAAGAACGAAGGGCTTTAACACTTTTTGGTGATATCTCTTAAGAATCTTGTGCTACGACTTTACGCAAAGATGCTATCGAGCTATGCTCGACGTGACCGACGGAAGAAATCCGCTTAAGTTTATCCTGCCAATGGTGCAGAAGTCTCCGGTTAAGTTTTATTTGAAAATCGACGTACGCGTCTAACTCGCGAACGAATGAATTTCGAAGTTCCATTTTTTTTTATTCTTACAAGTCGAAGACGCAATTTTTCTCACAAAGTGTCCGTCGTACGAGGCAGTCTTTGAACTCAAACCGGAGAGGCTAAAGTTCTTCTTCTTCTTCTTCTTCTTCTTCTTCTTCGAGAGTTCTCTTGGTGATTTATCGGAAGGATAAATTCGCGTCGATCGGCCACGTCGTTCTCTCTTTCTCTCTCTCTCTCTCTCTCTTTCTCTTTCTCTTTCTTTCTGTCTTTCTCTCTGCAACGACACGATCGGAGCGTCGGACGACAGCATCAACGGCGGCAAGAGAACCGGCGGAATCCACCGCCGCGTTTCCAGCTGGTTAACCGAGCTCAGGTAGGTAAGAACGCATCGGAAGAGAAGCCGACGATCATTAAAATTTCTCAAAGACCGAGGGCTGCTTTTACGCCGGGGAATGACAGAGAGAATCCAGGACGAAGTGTGACACGGAACGAAGCCACGAACTACTACTCGTCCTACTTCCCAGAACGCCTCAGAGAGATCGGACTCTCTTCCCTTTTGCTTAAAAGTCCTTGACAGTGTCCGGGCACGAAGATTTTTCATTTTTTAACTTACATTATTTTGCTTCTTTACGCGCGTAACGGTGATTAATTTAATACGACGCGAACTACCAACACGGGATTATCGATTGGATTAAATATTAAATTGTCAATAGTGTATATACATTAAAATATCTGATCAAAAGTTACTCGTCATCGAATCATCGATTCGTTTTCTTTTCTTTTCTTTTCTTTTCGTTAGGAACGAGAAATCATTTGTCTTTATATTTTACTCTCACTCTCTCTTTCTCTTGCATCGTTTCACTTTATATCGGACAACACCTGTCAATGAAAAAAAAGAGAACAATAAAAAACGTGAAGGAAAAAAGAAAAAGTAAGGAATTAACAAGAGAAAAGAGGAAAATAAAAATATAAATAAAAGAAAAAGGAAAAAAAAAGAAAGAAGCAACGAGAGAAATCCTTTTTATTTCCCGGCGGCGGAAGGCGTCAGCTTCTTCGTAACAAGGTGTACAGTGATTCCAGGCAATGTCACCTTCCATTTAACTCGCGGAAATCACGTGCAGCCGGCGCTCGTAAAGGACGCTGAGTTATTGTGGCGATCCGCAAGGTTCTACTAATTAGCTCGCGGCCGATTCGAAACTGAGCGAGCAAGCGAGCAAGCAAGCGAGCGAACGAACGAACGAACGAACGAACGAACGAAAGAACGAACGAACGAGCGAGTGAGTGTACGAGTAAGAGAAAGAGAGAGAGAAAGAGAGAAACCTCTACCCCGGGAGTCATTCATTAACGGGACAGCAGTCACGAATTGTTTTCATTCATTGGTTCTTGCGTGTGCTACTAAGAAGTGTGTCCTGAATGAACGTAGTCGTTCACCCGTTCCTCCGAGGGTTCGAGTCCTTGACACGACTGACAATTTTTAAGGGAAATAGATATTTTAACGCGTATATATAAAACGAGATAATCATATTTTTATTTATATATTTTTTATACAAATATATATAGAGAGATATATTTAATCGTCGGGTGCAATAATATCTGAGATCCGTGTACGTAAAGCCTATCTATCGTTCTCTCTCTCTTTCTACGTTTCATCGGTTTTTCCAGTATAATCAATATCGGTCGCGAATCCGCATAGAGAGAGAGAGAGAGAGAGAGAGAGAGAGAGAGAGAGAGAGAGAGAGAGAGAGAGAGAGAGAGAGTTTGAAAGCTCGGGAATGTACGTGAAAATAAATAAAATGAAATACGGCAGTGTGCTAGTCTTCTTTGATGAGTGCGTATCGGGAAACGATAGAGTCGGAGCCGGATGATCAAATTGAATGATGCGAAAAAAAAAGAAAATAGAGAGAAAGAAATAAAATAAATATAACAAAAGAGAGATAGATAAATAGAGATAGAGAAAGAGGGAAACGGAAATGGATCGGCGATGTCGTTGATGGTGTTTGCAGAATGTACTGGTGGAGACAGCGCTGGGTCATGGCGAGATGCTGAAGGAAGTCGGCTGCGGAAGTAGTACTCCCCCTGCTGGGGATGGTGCTTTGAACAGCAACCGTCCGGTTGGCACGGCGGAGAGCAACAGTTCAGATAGCACCCTTGGCTGCGGTGGGTGCGGAAGGGAGATAGCTGAACGTTGGTACCTAAAGGCAGCCGATCGTGCCTGGCACTGCGGTTGTCTTCGTTGCGGTCACTGCCGGATGCCTCTCGCCGGCGAACGCACTTGTTTCGCTAGGGACGGCAACATTTACTGCAAAGAGGATTACTACAGGTTAGCTTTATTCCCTTGGCTAAGAAGATTACGTCGCTCTCCTTGTTCCTAAAGTCCATCCAAAGTTAAACTTCAGAAAGAAGAGAGAATAGGTATGCATTTTTTTATATCCCTTAAGGGCTTCCTTAGTATATAGAAATACCTTTCTTCTTGATAGATATTCTTTTTCATTTTATTTATAAGAATGAAAAGAAAAATCTGTTACATCTTTTTAATCGTAGAAATAACTCAGCAAACGTGATACGATTGTTCGATGAGCAGTACTCTGTTAGTTAGTTCCCAGCACCAACAACAACAGCAGCAGCAGGAACATGTTTGATTCTCTTCGAAAGATATTATCCATCGATTTAATATGGATTTAAGATGAAAACAAAGTTCCGAGTAGCCTAGCTTAACTTTATCGAAGAGTATATCACCGAACGCGCGCGGAATTTAAGGTTCGGGCTTGGATATCCACCGCACCCTAGAGACACCCATTAGTATAGATTTTGTGTGGTCCGGAGGAAGTCGAAGTTGGTAGGAGGAGGTAGGGGAAGGAGGGAGGTTGGGAGGTTGGCCAAGCTTTTGGGACATACGGGTGTGGGACAGAAGTGACGCTCCTATGCAAATTCGAAGCTACCCCAATAAATACTGAAATGCGAAAGCATACGTAGAAAACAGGAACGGGCCAAAGGAAAGAGAGAAAGGAAAGAAGAATGGGGACCGAAACCGAATCTTGCATCGCCTTTCGCGAACCATTATCCTCGATAATTCGCCGTATAATGTTTCCATGAGCAACTTCCACGTTGCTTTGTTTCTATTCGCGAACAAAGTGAATCTTCCACTTTGGTCAAGTAGATCCGGAATAAACGGATCTAATATTTTCGTGCTTTTGTAAATATCATCGAGTTATAATGCAAAGATGATCGTAATGTTTTTTTAAGTTTAAATAATAAGAATAGTGTTTTATCTCAAATTAAATCGAACGCTAGATTGTTGTATTGAAAGATAATTCGATCGTTGTTGTAGTTGTTGTTGTTGTTGTTGTTCTTGTTCTTGTTGTTATGCCACAGTAAAGTTGTACTTACGCGATAATATATCCAGAATTCCACGCAAGGGAGGAAGAAGAACGTCCGGTATCTCTCCGGTAGTTTCTGCTTCGTTAGGGAAGAACAGAACGGCCTCCCATGCAATATGCAACGATCCAGATCCAGGCCACCCCCTTTGTCTCTCTCTTTCCCTCCTTCTCTCTCTCTCTCTCTCACCCTCTTCCTCTTTGCTGTTTCTTCTTCGTTTCTCTTTCTCTTTCTTTCTTTTCCTCTAGTTCGTTCTCTTTCTGTTGTTCGCGCTTCGGAAACTATTATAACGCGTGCCTTCTTATGTTTCGATCGTTGCTACGTGATATGGGCATTGCCAAGAATCGACTCTTTTCCTATCTAGGTCTAGCCTTTTTCTATTAACGAGAACATACGCGTTTAGTTACTGGTTCCTTGTGTGCCAATTTTGGTGTGCCGTTTCAAATGCTGGAGGTCGCTCGCATGACGAATACGCGAGAATACGATTTGTAAAATCGAGCCAACTCGATGCACGGTTTCGTAACTACTCTTTCGACGTGTACGTGACTAACTCGGTACTTTTGTAAAAACTCATTAAATTTTCTACTCTTACGAAGAAATTAATTTTAATCGGATGTGAAATTTTGTTCTTTACCGTTCAAAGTTAAAATACGATTGTTATATTTTATTGGATCGATATTTTTAATAAACGATCGATATTATTACACAACCGTGTGACATTTATTATTATTTATAATTGAATTTATGTTTCTATTTGAATGCAGTAATCATCAAGGTGTCGGCAGACTATTCGCGATATTATCGAACGACGACGTTTAACGCACGACTGCATAACAGGGACGAGCAGAATGCAGATAGGCTAAACTATGATCTCGTATATCTTTCCAAACGTATGAAATATTAACCATTGTTCGATAAATACATTTTCCTCGACAATTGACATCTTCTTCCTTCGTTTGTCAATTATTCATTGCTTACGATGTAGAAATGATCCCCCTACGGAATCCTTAATAACGACTTATCCTAAATATCAAACTCAAAGAAACACTTATTGATTTATCATATAATGTCGTAGAGAAAATAAATAAGAATGATTATGAAAAAATTTGTAAAAACATACGTTTAATTAATCGTTACAGATTGTTCGCGGTATCGAGATGTTCCCGGTGCCGTGCTGGGATCTTTCCTTCGGAGCTGGTGATGAGAGCACGGGACCTGGTCTACCACGTGGCCTGCTTTACTTGCGCTTCCTGCGGTATACCATTGAACAAAGGCGATCATTTTGGGCAGAGAGACGGCTTGGTATATTGTAGGTGAGATAAATACGAGCCCGATGATTAGCGTTATCCAAAGGCCGTCTCTTTGTTATCAACGAGTTCGACCGACGAGACCGAGATCGTAGATCGGAGAAACGGCCCCGATCAATTGACAGACAGTGATCACGCACGACGCTCCTCGCGTGCTGCCGGATCGGATCGTCTTGACGGATCGATTATTTTCATAAGTTCGATTATGATGAGATCGTATTCGTTTGGTCGATCGTTTACGATGTTGTTCGTGATTATTAGTAGTGTATATGAGAAAGGAAGACGGAGAGAGAGAAGGGAAAAGAAAATAATAATAAAAAGAAAAAGAAAAATAAAAAGAAAAAGAAAAAGAAAAAAGACTTGTAAGTAAGTTTGGCGATCGTCTCGTCGAACGAACTCGGTAAGATAACGAAGGCTCGCGAATCGAATACTCGACAGCAAGGTTCACGAATGACGAGCTCGTCGATCCCAAGACCGCACTACGAGTTGCTTTGCTGCGCCGGGGATTACGGAAGCGGCACTGGCAGCATCGACGACATCGGTTCGCCGGGAGTCTCGCCGCTTCCGGCTTATTACAGCACGGCCGAGCAGAGTCCGATCGCGTCCTCGGGAACGGTACAGAAGGGAAGACCAAGGAAGAGGAAACTTTCCGAAGTCACCGGGTCCGAGCTTCCTGTTACGATGAGGCTGGCCGCCGGAGCGCTGGGTGAGCGAATCTCCGACAATCTTCGATCATTCGCCTAATCCCCCTGTATACACATATACATACATACGTTGCATTATTCTTAAAATCTAATAATAATTATACAAATTTTCTAACGCTAATAAGAAAATAACAAATATAGTTTTGAACGTAGGCCGTAACTTGTCTATCTTGACGCTTGTTATTGTTTATACAAACAAATCTCGACACCTGCAAAATAATCTACTCGTTCCGACTACGAACGTCTCTGAACTCGTTCGTAACAATAAATGCATACATATTACTAATCCATGAAAGTGAAATCAAATGGACCGTTCCTTCCATTTAACGAGACAATTACGATAAACAATTCATGCAAATACATATATACATACATACATACATACTTTGTATAATCGTCGAGAGATCATGTAACGAGACTAACCGATGAAAGCTTCGCGACGACCTAATCGTAAATGTCGATGTTAGAGAGGGATATACCCTAATTGGACCGGATGGTAAATAGGGGTTGCTTTCAAATGTCGGCCTTAAAACCATAGGAACACGTGGTGTAGGTACGCACTCTATATCCGCGTCGAGTCTCCTTCTTCTCCCCACTCTCTCTCCCTCTCTCTCTAATATCCTACATATACTCGTTCGTTCGTTCATTCGTTCGTTCGCGTATTCGAGCAGGTTAGTCGAGGGAGTTGCATTATTTGCCGAGCAATGAGCATAATGGCTCGTTCCTTAGGCGCGCAAACATTTGCACGAGCTTTCGAGAATCGGCAAGTACGAATCGCGAGATTCGTTCGCACTTGCCTCGTTAACCGTACGCCGTAACGTTCTTTATTCCTTCCCCCTCGGCCTCTTTTTCTTTCTCCCATCGACACACGGAATTCTTTAATAAATTCTCGCACGCTACGCAGCTGTTTTCTACGATTCCACTCATCGGATATTCTCTTTAATCTCGTTGCAACGAATGAATCGCATTTTTAATTCTTTATATATTTCGTATTTCAAATGCGACCGAGTCTCCAAACGTAGTTTCTAACGAAGCCGACACGCGTTACAACGATCTTTCTTTTTCTATTTCTTTTTGTTTTTATTCTTTTTTTTTTTTTCGCGTTGCATTTTACAATACGCGAACCATATACGATCCCACGCTATTCTACATCATTTCGTTGTACTTTTTTTGTTTGCTTTTTTGCGTTGTCGTTGAGTTGCGTTGCGTTGCGTTGCGTTCGCTGATTTTTCAGTTGACTTTTCTTAACGGTGAAACGATAAATTAACTATCGAAAAGGATCTCGAGAATACGAGAGCGCCAATAATTATTCTCTCTTAGAATATATCGTCCTGATTTCGTTCCTTCGATTGCCACTTTCTCGCATCTTTACGATTTCACGAAACGGCGAAAGCAAACTTGACTTTGCTCGAGTTTAGAGTCTCGTTCGTGAGAAGAGATGTCTATGTGTACGTGTACATATATACATATATACATACGCGTGATTCTCAGTTATTTTATAATCGACGTGCGATCAGAGCAAAGGAGGATCGCTCTCGGACTACCGGTTGGAATTTACGACCAACAGCCATAAAATCGTCCATGAAGTTCTCCCTGTTGCGGCTTTAAGAGAAAGAGAAAGAATAAAAGAAAAAGAGAAAAGAGAGAAGGGAAAGAGAAAGATAGGGTGGGAACCAGCCGACTTGTCCCCGTCAGGACTCCTCTCCCGGCGTTTTATTGTCCTTATATATAATTGGGACACTTTTTGCTTCGTTCGAGAGATTTCGAATTATCCCGTCTGGATGTCTCTCCCCTGATTCTCGACGGTCGGCAAATCCTTGAAAACGCGTCGACGTTCCCGCGACAGATCGAAAGAATCGAGAGGAGAGAAGGAGAAAGGTGGTATGATTCTTTCTCCTTCGATACCGTCATCATCATCATCATCATCATCATCATCATCATCTTTTCACCTTTTTCTTCATCCCATTCGTTTTCGTCAAGGTCGTTTAAGAAATTTACACTTAAGGATGATCTAATCCTTCTCCTCTTACGTATTTAATCGGTAGACAAAAAAAGAGATAACAGAAAATAAGATAGAAAAGGGAAGATAAGTTGAGAGTTAAAAACGGAAGAGAGACGAGGTAGTAGGATTAAAAGGAATGAAAGAAAAAAAAAAGAAAAAAGAAGAAATAGAGAAAGAAATCTCACACACGACGCTAAACTTGTTCGGTAAAGATTTTCTACTCGATCGGGCATGGAACGTCGCGCTTACGCAACGTCCCGACAACTCGCGACGAACGCTTTCGTTTTTCTCCACGTCTTCGCCTCGGCCATTCTTGGCGATGCCAGTAGAAAAGAGAAAAAGAGAGAGAGAGAGAGAGAGAGAGAGTAAATCCATTCGCGTTTCCGATAAAAATCAGCGAGTCCAGGTAAACCATTAACGTCGTTAACGACGCGTCTTTACAATCCGGTGGATCGATGACGTTTTTCAAGAACCACGTGGACGAAAACTTTTGCCGAAAACGTGAAAGAGGAAGAGAAATAATATTGACTGGAGGAAGTACGATCGTTCGATCGATCGAGATCAGATCGATGGATCGGAACGATCGAAGCTTGTGCACTCTTCCTAGATATAGAAGGAAAGACACAAAGAGAGAGAGAGAGAGAAAGAGAACGATTTATCGGCAGATCGAGTCTCGTCTCCTTAATCGCGAATCTACGACGACTCTCGATACTTTTTTCTTTCTATCTTTCTCGCATACCAGCTTGGTACATATATATATCTATAGCTCTTTCTCTATCTTTGTACGAGCACATCGTCGATCTAAACAGATTTCGCTCGCATACGTCTGCGACCGATTGCACGCGGTTACGCTCGACGAAAGAAGAAGAAGAAGAAGAAGAAGAAGAAGAAGAAGAATAAGAGGAAGAAGAGAAGAACTGAAAGAGAGATAGAAAGAAAGAGAGAGAGTGAGAGAGAGAAAACGGCTAGGGGGCATACGCGGACAGTGACAGATGGGTATCGGCACGGAGATGCATCGATTGGCCGATCTGCCCGGAAAAGAATGCTGTCGCGGCCAATACGTGGCCACTGCTAGCAGAATGGCCGGCCGTCCACAATGCCGGCTCGTTCAACTTTTTTTTTATACCCTCTACCGTTCTTCTGTCTTCTTATTCTTCTTATTCTTATTCTTATTCTTATTTTCTTTCTCTCTTTCTACTTATCTCTCATTCTCTTTCTCTTTTTCTCTTTCGTATCTACCTTTTACCGCTTGCTTTCTCTTTTGCGCCCTTCTAACCTCCGCCTTGACAAATTGTAATCTCATTCTTGTACAATGAAATCTTCGAATCCTTTCAGCTTCCCTTTTCTCTCACGTACGATCGTGAGTAAAACGCGAGAAGAATATGAACATTTAACTTTCGGATGCATTCCGTTCGATTCCTATATGGAGAACGGGAAAAGGATAAGAGATCGTTCACCTTTATCTCTCTCTCTCTCTCTCTCTCGCTCCCTTTTTCATTCTCGCGTAAGAAAAACGATATTCGCGGTGAGAATTCTTCTCTATCTCGTTTTCTCTCTCTCTCTCTCTCTCTTTCTTTCTTTTTCTTTCCTTCTTTTATTTCTTTTATTTCTCTTTCCCTTTCGCGATGCTCAGAGATCGTCGAACGCGAGGGAATGGAAGTTCGGAACAATAAACAGTAATGGCGGATACGTGCTCGGGGATTTACTTCTGGGATATCCTCCCCCTCTACCGAACCTTCCACCGAACCCTCCGCAGATCCGAGCCCTTCGTGGCCGAGGCCACCACCACCACCACCAGCACCAGCACCACCACCACTAGCATTGGCAGCACCACCACGAGCTATCTTTCCTCGTCGTTGGAACCCGTTCTTTCTCTCGATCGAATTCAATGGTTACCCTCGTCGTCTTATTTATTGGATGCGTTTCTTCGCTCCGCCGGTGCGCAACAATCGCGACTCTCTTCGATGGCACAGAACGCGAGTCTCTTCCCCCTCATTCCCCTCTTCCTCTTGTTCTTACTCCTTGCCAGTCTCCCCCGCTCCCCCTCCCCCCGTTTTGGTTGTTGCTGCTCCCTCGATACCTACATACTTTTTTGCCTTGTCCCGTTCGACGACGGAGCACGTTCGACGGAAAAATGAATTCGTTCGTTCCGATCCTTCGGCCGAAGTCTTTCTTCGGTCGGGGAACGAGGAGAAAATACGGTTTCGCGACATCGTCGACCAGTTTCGATTCCATCCAACGGATTTATGCGACTTCCAATCCCCGTTCCAGATTCTACTCGGTCGATTCCCACCTTCCTTCCTCGATTCCGATCAAAGTTGATTTCACAAAACGATAGGAAATAACGTTGAGCAATAACGATAAATGGAATGAACTGGTCTAAAGGATATTATTTTTTCAATCTGAATTTTATTAGTATTTTTTGGATGGTATAATAATGGTTTAAAGGATTTGTCATTTAAATTGATTTTTATTATCGTATATTTGTAAAATATATAATAATAGGACGTCGTGCGAGAGAATACGAGTTTCATTTGATTCTAGATAAATCGATAAGTGTGTAAAGCATTGATAAATATATATATTTATATGTATATATTTAATCGGTCGGCCCAGTGATAGATGGAAAGCATCTTGTTGTCCGTCTCGTTGTTTCAGAATTACTACATCCGACCGAATTATCATCGTCGATGGAATCGCTCGCGGCGTACGACGCATCCGTAGGCTCGCCCGGACCCGTTCATCAGAGCCAAAGAACGAAACGCATGCGTACGAGCTTCAAGCATCATCAGCTGAGAACTATGAAGAACTACTTCGCGATAAACCAGAATCCAGATGCTAAAGATCTGAAGCAATTGGCGCAGAAGACGGGTCTCTCGAAGAGGGTGCTTCAGGTGAGAAGGGGACGATCGCGATTGCGGTACGTCCGTAATTTCATTCGATCGTACGGGGGTGCTCGAGATTAAAGAAATACAACAACAAAAAAAGAATATCGAAGTGAGAATAAGAATTAAATTAAATTAAATTAAATTAAAAAAAAGGGCATTCAAGCGTAAAATATTTGATTCGTTTCTTTGGTGATAAGAGGAGTGTTTGAAAATTGTACTCGTTAAAAATATACGTTCCTTGAGAAATAATAAGGGAAAAAATCTAATTTCGCGTATTACGAAGAAAAAGGTCGACATTTGTAGATATAATACTTTCCACGCAGGTATGGTTCCAAAACGCACGCGCAAAATGGCGGCGGAATATGATGCGGCAAGAGGGTAGCGGAGCAAGCAGTAACGTTGGTTGTCCTGGTACTCCGGTGTCATCGAGTACAGCAGGTTCACCAAACGTCGCTCCGCCCGTTAGCATCCTAGGTGACAGTAACAGCATGCCCTCGACCTCGATGGAAGAGTTGCACGCCCTTCATCATTTGCATTCCGGTGTTTCCTCTCAGGTCTCTTTTTCCGATCTCTACTGACGACGGCTTGAGATGGAGGAAGACGGTTATAGTACCCTCTCCAGCCATCTTGGATGAGAAAACGTCAAGGAAGAAGATACGGACTTCTCTCTTTTTTTTTTTTTTCTTATCATCGAAGGACGTTAACGTCCAATTAGTGAAAACTCCTGATGATAACGGTCAAGGATACTCGTGGAAATCCTTTATTATTTATCATTCTTCGAATACATTTTTTGAACCAAAAAAAAAAAAAAAAAAAGAAAAGAAAACCCCATCGACAAAATTATTCACGAAGAAATTGAATTTTCGTTTAAAATAAATAAACAGAGATATAGAGAAGTCTTTATCGTTGACTCGGGAAAATTCTTATAGAAAAAAAGGAGAAGAGACGAGAGATTAGCTTTAAAAGATAAGTGATAATAACCATAGTTCCATGCACATTTTAATTACCAAAGGGTTTCTAAACGATAGTCACTCTCTCTCTGTCTCTCTCTCTCTCTCTCTCTTTCTCTCTCTCTCTCTCTCTCGTGGAAAACGTACTCCTGTTTAAGTACTTAGATGTGAGAGAGAAACGCCATTAGAACACGATTAACGATCATCGACGAATAAATTCATTCTCTCAAATAGAACCTCGATATTAATTATTTCTAATTATTATCGAATACATCAAGAATCCCGATAAAAAAAAAATGTTAACGAATTTTTCCTACATGGATAAATGAAATTTAATTATTTTCGTTCGTACGTGTTCAATTCGGCGACAACGAGTAAAAATTCGGCATTTTTCTGACCAATTTTCGTTCGTCACATCTTCCTCTTTTATTTTTTATTTATTTTTCTTCGTAAAAAAAAAAAAAGAATTATTTGAGAGACGTCGAGACGTCGTTTAGCAAACACGTTACGGTAATATCGGATCGAACGTGTGTTATAGTTGAAAAGTAAAAAAGTCGATAAAGAAAGTAGAGAAAAAGTTTTGCATATAATAGAAATGTGACGAAGACGAGAGAAATAAAAATAAAAATAAGAAAGAAAAAAAAAAAGAAAAAGAAAGAAAACCTTTTGATAAATAATAACGATCGACGGTTAAACTTAGGGAAAAAAAAAATAATGTCTTAACAGCGTTCCTCTCCTCGTGCCAAAGTGTAGCTGCTAAGATTAGGGAGAATTTCACGAGCCGTTCGAATTCAATAGATTACAAGCGATATATTTTTTCAAGAAAGTTGTCGGCAACAACCAGTCAGACACTTCCCGATCGTCGATCGTACGATCGTTCGTTCGTTCGTTCGTTCGTTCGTTCGTTCTTCTTCCGGCTTTTCAAATCGCATTTGAATAAGCGAGAAAATAAATAATATAAAGAAAAAGAAAAAGAAAAGGAAGAAGAAGAGAAATTTCTCGATCTTATCAGAAATAAATCGACAAGTTCGATTTATCGGTTTAACGATATACTAAATCGATCGACGTTTCGAGGAAGCGTTCACATTCCAGGTCTGTCTTTGAATCCGAACGTAAGTACGGCTCTGACCACTGCTCAAACAGTTGATGTATATTAGAAGCAAAACAGAACAAAAATTGATGCAAACATTTTTAGAAGAAGAAGAAAAAACACGGAAAATAATTTTAGATAGAATCCGACGTTTTGTATCTATAAACGAAGGAAACAAATAATTTAAATAAAATCGAGATAATCGTTAGATCGATCGCCCGATTTTTTATTCGTTATTTGGCGACACTTCCTACAGAGAAAAAAAAAAAGAAAAGATAAATAAATAGAAATAAAAAACGTCTTGCATCGAATAAAAGAGCCGAATTGAAGTCGTGCGTTTTAGGTACTACTTGCGCGTAGCGTTTAGCGACGATTAATGTGCGTCTGAACTTCGTAAAAAAAAAAAAAAAAGATGAACCAGTTTACGATATGGTTTAACGAAAGTAAAATTAAAAAAAAAAAAAAGAAATTGTATAGACAAATTAATGTGCTACCTTCGAGTGCAACTATTATCGTATAATAATGATATTAATAATAATAATAACATTAATAATAATAATATTAATAATAATAATTAATAATAATAATAATATTAATAACAATAATATAATAAATAGTTACATACATAAATACACGCATCCTGACTCGTATTATTTCTAATTTTTAACCCATTTTCGATATTTCCCCCGATGATTACAAACCAAACATTATTTAACGAAAGAGAAAAAGCGAAATAGATAATATCCGGAGGATGTATCGGCTTTCAGATTATTTTTGAAAAAAAGGAAAAAAATAAAGATCATAAGCGTGACCGCGTGCTCGAAGGGGACGCAACTGCAACAGCTTTGGTTCTAATTAGCATCAAATTAGGTATTTAAGGATTTCACGTTGGCGAACGGGTGGGAAAGAGAATCGCGTGGCCAGTGTGTGAATTGGAGAAGACACGGAGAAAAGAAGGAAAGAACGTAGGGATAGAAAGAGAGTGGAGAGTAGTAAAAATAAAAAAATTTTAAAAGAAAAGAAGAAAAAAAGGAATAGAAATAAAAGAAGAAGAAGAAGAAGAAGAAAAAGAAAAAGAAAGGGAAAATAAAGAATATACACTCGCGCACACATCCTCTCCTACTTAGAGAAACTTATACCAACATAAGGAGAAAATAACGAACGAATATAGATAGTCGTGTAAATCGTAGCTCAGAAAGTTGTGTATGTAAGTGCAAAAGGGAGTTCTGTAGGTTGTAGGTAAGGAACGTTCGCGCACGCGTGTTCGTAGGGATCTTACTGGCAGGGCCGCGCGCATACCTAAAGGTATATATTTTGTCGAGGCTCATATAAGTTAATTTTCAATCTATATGCGGGTTCGAGTGGCGCGCGGCGACTCATCAACGAATGAAGAAATTGAGACTCTCGTTAATATTTAATGAGCGCGAACGGAGATACAATGGCCGTTGGTTGGTCCTCCCGAGGCCTCCAAATATCAGCTAGTCGGTGTGTAACACTTATACCATTACACACCTTCGTCTTCCTCACTCCCCCACCCCACCCACACGCCTTCACCTTTTCCACCTTCCTTTCTCCGTTATTTGCGCATAATATGAGAGTAAGATAACTTTTTTCTTATTTTTTCTCTTTTTTTTTTTCCTTTTTTTTTTCCTCTAGTCTCTCGGGAAAAGTGAACGTTTATGTATATATATATATATTTGTATATGTAAATACATGTGTGTATATAGGTGTAAAGAGAGAAAGAAGCAGGTGGTTTGTTTGAAGATCGCGCTCGCCCTCCGGCTTCCTTTCTATCCACCTTCTCATTGGCCGATCGTGAGAATCGTTCGTAAACTCCGCTTTGAAACATATATGTATGTAAGTACTTATGTACGTAGAGGTACGATCGTGCGGGGGCGTTTCACTGGCCGTTTTCAAATGGTTACATGGGTGTTTACGGCTGTAGTCCAACACGCTTTGCCAGAGTCAACTTCATTTGTCCGTGGAAATCGGCCGACCTTTGCCAAAGGGATAACTACTTCGACGAGATAAGCCCTCACTGATATCTATTTACTTCTGTTATTTCTATCTTTTCTTATTGGAAAAGAAGAAGATGAAGAAGAGGAAGAAGAAGAAGAAGAAGAAGAAGAAAGAAAAGAAAAGAGTAACAAGTTGCGCCGCGAGCAAATTGTAGAAGGAAGAGAGAAGTTGTACTGCATGACCGATTGAATTTTACGTTAATTAGCTAAGCGTCGTTAAATCGCACGCGAGGGCGTCTAACTGTCTCGGATAACGAAGGGCTTTCGAATCTAATGAGAAACTCTACGTAACATACGTGGATCAGACCTGAAACGAGACCTTAGAATATTAGGTACTTAAATATTAGTTAGAAGGAGTGCGAAAAGTTAAACTCTTATCTTTTCATTCTATTGTATATATATATATTGTGTGTGTGTGTGGCTCAGTTTATTTATGTGTATGTATTTCTTGCAAGTATCTTCGTCAGGTTTACGGCTCTCTTGACGTTGTTCGCGCTCGTTAAACGATTCGCCCTTCGATATCGGTTCTAACTTTTTCTCATACCGATAATAATTAACGGGAGTACCGGATCTTTTCCTCTCTCTCTCTTTTTCTCTCTCTTTTTCCCTTCCTCTGTTTCTTTGTTTTTTGGACAGTAACTCTTTCCCTCCTCGGAACGACAGTTGTCCCCTTTCGTTATAAACTTTTTGCGCTAATAAACGGATTATTGACACGAGCGTGAATTCTTTCTTCGTAAGATCGAGGAGGTGGAGGAGGAAGAGAAGGAGTAGGAGGAGTAGGAGGAGGAGGAGGAGGAGGACCGTTATGCGTTTACGGTTTCGTTCTTACGAAAATCTGGATTCTTTCGAATTCATTAAAGATGATAGGAACTCGCGAAATTGTTTTGAGGCCAGGTTATCCAATTTCAAAGGTCCCTATGTCTAATACCGGTAGTCCACAAAGAACGGGGGTGTAAGTATACGGTAAAAGATATAAAGAAAAAAAAAAGTAAAAAGAAAAGGGAGAATGGGAGTAACTGGAAAAAAGGAAGACGTGAAAGATTTTTCGGTAGCGGGACCGGTGTCGAAATCGAGTTCAAGCTTAAAAAACTGGACCAATTTTCGGTAATTTGTACGCGATGGAGAGTGCACGCTCGCGCACGTATGGCGTTCGTAGTTTGGGATCCGCCTTCTCTTTCCACGCGTTCCCTCTCTTTGCTGTTCCCGTCTACGGGAAAGAGAAAGACAAAGAGAAAAAGGGAGACAGAGAGAAGAGAGAGAGAAAGAGAGAGAGAAGAAAAGAAGAAGGATGATAGTTGAAGGGTGCCGGTCGGTGGTGGGTCGTCGTAGAAGGCTATTTTCGAGGGAAGAGGAAGAACTCCTCCTCCTCCTCCTCTTCCTTCAACCCATCTTCCTCCTCCTTCTCTGCCTACTCCTTCTCCTCCTCCTCCTCCTCCTCCTCCTCCTCTTCAACGGGTTCGGTCGATAGTCTTTTGTTCTGTCAAACGTCGTGGAACGTGGACCGCGCCCGACTCCTTCTTCTTCTTCTTCTTCTTCTAAAGGGAAAGAGAAAGATAGAAATAGGGAGAGACATACGTATATACTCGAGTTAAAGGTAGCAAAAGAGAAAACACGATAGAGAGAGAGAGATAGTCGTATTACTACCTTCTCTGTTCCTCCTTTTAAATGCGACGCGACGCGACGTACAACGACAACGAAGAAGAAGAAGAAGAAGAGGAGAAGAACGACGAGGAGGACACAACGAAGAAGACGAGGACCGAGCAGAAGAAGAAGATTCGAAGAGGAGTTTTTATTGGGGCGGCTGCTCTTGCAGGCCAAGAAGCTCCTGGCGATCGTCTTCTGCCAACTGGATACGCACGCACCTTGTCGCGATTCTACCTATGTATATATATATATGTACAAGTTCACAGAGAAGAGAGACAAGTAAATACGCACGTTCTACGTTTGAGATAGAATGAGAAAAGGAGAGGGAATGAGAAGAAGAAGAAGAAGAAGAAGAAGAAGAAGAAGAAGAAGAAGAAGAAGGGCAGAAACTCGCCAGCTGCTACCGGCGCACTTCTCTTCACCGCCATTGCACGGATGGACGCAATGCTTCCGCCGATATAGCAAGTAAAGGGCCTCCTTCTTTCTCTCTTTTCTCCCTTCTCCTGGTCGCCCTTGACGCGCAAGATAAGACTCCTCGTTCGATTCGATTGCGCTGTTTGCCCCAGCGGAAGCTGCCGGACACCACCAGCACGACCTCGGCACCAACGGCAGATGGCTGCCAAGAAAAGGGTGACAGAGGCACGCGTTATTCGTGTATATTCCGGAGGCAAGAAAACCTACACCGTGCACTTTTTCTCTAACTACGAGTCCAACCGGTGGACCTACCACCGGTTTTAAAACCAACTAACTCTTTCCATTTCCATGGCTCGACAATTCATTCGACATTTCCTTCGCGATCGAAGATTTAGATCGTTTTAAATTGATTGTTAATTAAACGACTCGATTATTCCAAATTTCGTCCCGTTTATTTTTGATCCTTAGAGAGATATCATTAATTAATGTCCAAATTTTCTTCTCGATCAAAATACTTGACATTTTTTCTTGTTGTTAAGTTTATATTTTATCGGTTTACAATGCTATTAATTGTATTGATAAATTCAATTATTATTTCGAATGAAATGTTATTATCGAACATTGGCTTCTACTTTCTATATGTACGTGTCGTTACATAGGTATATCCACTCGTCGTTGTATCTTTTACTTCTTATTTCATCCACCTCCCCTTTCCAACTTCTGTCCTCGACGTTTTCGTCCTCGTCGTCGTTTGGTAGAGATAAAAAACGACTGACTCGGTCCTCGAGGATTCGCCCATTTTATCGAGCGATTTAAAATGGCCGGAATTTCAAAGACGTGGAAAAAGGACCCTCGCCTTCCTATTTTGATCGATCGTAACCTCGACAATATTCTTCTCTGTATTCATGAATCTTTTATAACCGCCAATGAATTTTCATCAGGAATATCGATATACTTTTTGTGAAAATAAAAGAAAACAAACAAAAAAATTAAAAAGAGAACGACGGGGGAAAAAGAAGAAAAAAGAAAAAAAATGGAGAAAAAGACGTTAAAGGTATCGTCCGTTGGCTTTCGCGACTTTCACTAGTAGAAAATAAAAGAAAAGAAAAAAAAAGAAAAAATGTCGAAAAGATGGAAACATCTGCTGTGAATGGAGGCGCTAAGATCGGGCCGTCCTGTCACCGGTAGTGTCTCCTTTAGGAAACTAAGATGGCGTCCCTGGAGAGACGATGGTTCAACGCAAAACGATGTCGGTCGATATAAAAACGATATCTATAAAAACGAGAAAGCGAAAGATGGCAGGTCTGGTAGACGGTAGTGGTAAGAGTAGGTAGTAGTAGTAGTAGTAGTAGTAGTAGTAGTATACGCGAGAGAGTACTATAGTTTTAT